GGGGCGCCGCCGCCGCCGCTGCAGGTACCGACCGCGCTGGGGAGCGCGGGCAGGTGCGCGGGGAGGCGGCTTTGCGCGCTGCCTGGCGGCCGTTACGGCGGTTGGGGGGCGGCTGGGGCCGCCTGGGCCGGTGGCGACGTGGTGGTGTCCGAGGAGGGGCCGCGCTTCGGGGGAGCGCGCGGTAAACAAGCCTCGAGGTGCCCGCCCAGGATCCATCTTTGCTGCCACAGAGCTGCGGGAGGGCGACACCGAGGCGGTGGGGATCACACCGGCTCAGGGGGTTGACACCAGGGCGGTGGGGATGACACTGGACCGCCCYGTCGTGCATGCCTGGCCTTCCCAAAGGCTGTGGCCGAGTGCCCGGCACCGAGCTCCTGTCCCACACGCAGGGCCATGGGTGTCATGCAAGGTGCGAGGCCGCACCTGGGCTGCCATTGTGGAGAGCCGGGTGCTGGGGAGCACCTGCAGAAGGAGGGAAGATGGGGGTTCATGCAGGAGTGTGGAAATAATGTGCTTGTTTCAGCATCATGCTTGGCTATTGTGCTTGTTACCCAGTGGCAGAACTGGGGCAGGTGGTAAGGCTCTTGCTCATCAACAAAATAGAGGAAAAATAATGATATTCTGAGGTCTTAAAGGCCCAAATTTGGGATAAAGCCATTCCTTCTCTCATCGTGTTGCCTTTCATGGAAGAATTTCAAAATGGTTTTGAGCATTAATTATTTAAGACCTTCTAGCACCAAGGCTCCATATGGGCAAATCACTTAAGCATATGTTTAGCTGTGTGATTTTTTTTTTTTTTTGAATTTTTTTTTTTTAGCAAGCATATATGCATGTTTCTGTTTGATTCAAAAAGATACTAAATGAGCTTAGTTTTAGGCAAATGCTTAATAATTTGCTGGAGTGAATCTCTAGAAATCCATCAAGGTAAGTATGTTAATTAGGAAATAGAAGCAAAGATCCTGAATTATGACCTCTGCATGTGACTTGATCGTTGGAATTGAATGCTCTTGAAGAGAAAAAAAAAAAAAAGACCATGTTTAGTGACTGAATGATCCTTTTTGGCTCACATACTGATTTTATTTCAAGAAGCTTTATTATCTTATTGCCTTTAACGCTGATAAAAATCTTTGGACCTCGATTTGGCACCAGTGCTGTTGGTACACTGTTGCTGCGGTTATGTAACTTGCACTTAGCTACTCTACAGCACACAGCTTTTATAAATCAGGGCTGATTTATGAATTTTAGAAAAATCATTTGTGCTGATCCTCAGTAAATTTACTGCTTTATTTCTTTTGCTCAATACTGTATCTTGCTCAATACTGCATCTTTCAGTGTTTTGAAAGAGCTTGGTAATTTTTTATCTTATATAAAATTGACGAGGCCTGTATTGATTAATCCTAAAAAAAAAAAAAAAAAAAAAAACCTAACATTTATAAGACTTTTATTATTATAGTGGACTTGTTACAGACCTACGTGTTTTGATCTGTTAAGTACTTTCTATAAAGTATTTGTGTAATTTTTGAATACCAGAATATTTTTGAATTTTTAAAAAGGGCCCAAATTCAGATATTTTTTCTTTTTGCTATAGTAATCTCTTTTGACGGAATACTGCCAAAAGGCAGGCAAAATAAGTGATTGTTGCATTTCCRTCAGAAGACTGGCAGAGCAATAATGCCTCAACAGGACTGTTTTGAAGAGCCCCAAGCATGTTCCTGCTGTGGCTGCAGGCCCTGTGCAGGGAACTCCTAAGCTGGGCAGCAGCCTTGCTGCTGGAAGTGAGGAAGCAGATGGAATCTGCCTGAATTTGGCTTTTTTGTGTGTGTGTGTGGTATTGCAGATGGGAAGGAACCTTAGGATCCTGAGAGAGGGAACGTGCAGAGATGAAGTTTTGGGATGCAGCCTTTTCTCTCATTTGATGTTTCTCTTTTGATACCCCTGTTATGTTCAAGCTAATTATACAGCTTGACAGATCAGCTATCTCCTGGATTAACAGATTTTTGCCAGTGTAATTACTAGGCTGTCTCTCAGAAAAGACGTTGAATTCTGCAAAGTCAGGTGCAAAGGCTTGGCTTCAGACCTGCAGCTGATACCCATGTGTGGTAATGAGGAGGTACAGGTGTGGGTTTTTTTTTCCTCCTCTCTCTCTATCCTCTCTTCTCTATGACCTCTTTCTCCTCCCATAAAAACAACAGCAAAGCTACCCCTGCCAAAGAAATAACTAGATTTCAAAGACTAGACAAAGAAGGCAAGCACAAGAAGAGCTCAGTTCATGGAGTTACTCTGATGTGTGTTGACATGAATATAGCTATTATTTCAAACTTCAGAAAAAGAAATATGCAGGAAGAAGGAGCCAGGCCTCTGTGGCTAYCATGGTGATTGGCAACATGACCCAGTCTCACTTTGTATCCACACAGGCAGTGAGTTTTTGGATTTCCTTTGTAGCRGTTTTAGAAATCTGGACTCTTGATATGTAGCAGTGATTAAGAGAAGCCATTGAGAATTTGGAGTATTCAGTTAGTAAATTCTAATTCTGGCTTTGAATCAAAGCAGAACCGTTTGGTTTTTCTCACTGTGTTTATCCTTATGAAAATGACTTAGTATTTGAGATCCACAGGATATTCTGGGTGTGGTGCATTAACTTATTTATAATGCAGGTATTGTGTAATAGRCAAAACAGAGACCACTAATTGATACTTAACTGCATCAGTTCTGTTGCAAATATACTATGTGTCCTTAATGAATAAGATTATTTTGGGAAAAAGACAACCATTATGTAAACAGGCACTATATGTATTAACAACACACAGAATGTTATACACTATTTTAATGCTCAAGTTATTTTTATTTTCCAACCTTAAATTACATTTGAAATACTTGGGAGGTGGCTTTGAATAAGATAGAAAGATCATTTTGAGTTTTGGAKGAGATAAAAATGATAACATGGTAATATTAAAAAAAAGGGTAACAGCTAATAGCAGTTCTGAACAAAAGAGAGGGCGAGAACTGTGGCTGTTTAAGAGAAGTAGGTAMTGTTTAAATACTTAGAATAGCTTTTGGAATTGATAGCTCATTCTGTTAATGTGGGTTTGAATTTAGGGAACAATACTGCATACTGATGCACCTTTTAAAATACAGATACACACATTGCTGTGGGAACAGTTTGTTGCTTGGTTGAGTAATCTCAAAATTTTCTCTTGTCATCACTGGACAGGGGACAGAGCGGTAATAAATTCAATTTTGTATTGAAGCTTTTGTTACAGTCATAGATCCTGAGAAGACGAGAGCTGAAATATATATAGGAGATTCTGTAGCATGTAGCATTTATAGGAATAAAGGAGGAAAATATTCATCAATTTTCATGGCTGTAAATTACAGAGGATGCAGCTCCCTCTCAAGGAGTTAGAGTTGCATAATTAGAGACTTGTGATATGCTTTGGGGCTGAAATTTTTCTACAACAGGCAACACAGTGTTCTCATCCAAGAGGTGTAAGAAAATAATCAGTATCATGGAAGAGATTTATTTTTAGATTGTTGAAGCTTACAGGTTGTTTCCTATTGGGAAATGGAGAAGATGGTTTGCAGTCTTTAAAAGACTCTTTTGATTGCTTTTAGATGTATCAGGTATAGGCATTCAGTTGGAATCAATMTGCATTTCTTATATGAAAAAGCTGAATGAAATTTGGGGAGATGAAAAATTACTCTTTTTGTAAGAGTATTTGTGTCCATGTGGCCCTTGACAGGTCACTCAATTGCTGGTAAAAGAGAATTTGGGAGATTTTCTTTCTCAGAGAGCAGATTGAAAAATACATTTTTTTTTTTTAATTTCAGGGAAATATTTGATGAAGTGTAAGCAAAATGTCCCATGCTGAAATCAGGKTTTTTGTTTTATTTTTTAAATTAAATTTGTTCTATATTATACTCCATCATATTCTGGAATTCAAGGTGTTTTCTTTTGAGAAGCTTGTGTCGATAGTTGTTTTCCCAATAAAAAGCTGAAAGAAACAATGACAGAAATGTGCATTAGTAGTCAAAGGAAGAGGACCTACAATTACACCTTGATGGGAAGTGGAAGGTTGCAAGAGTAAGGAGTGATGGCAGGAAGCTGTATGTTGCAACATGGTAATTTTTACGGTTCTTATTTGTTTTGTTCAAGTTTCATTACTTTTTTCCAATCTTCTGGCAGATGATATATCATCAAAGACCAACTGATATGTGAAAGCATTCACTGAATTGCTGTCCGCTTGAAGAAAGGCGGCTGCGGGATTTGAAATACAACTGCTGATCTRTGTCACTGGGGATCTGTAGCATGCGTTATCTGTAAACTGGGTGATAGTAGAGAAAGTCTTTGCAATCTGAGGCAAAGATCTGAGGAAGKTTTATTCAAAATATGCTTAATTTTTGGCATGATCCGTCAAATTTAGAAAAACAGTGCGAGTTGCTTTAGCATCTTGAATACTGTGTATTTTATCCTTACTATATTCTACTGTTATGAATGGGAAAATGACGCACAAAGGATGCATCTGTTCTATCATGTTGTTGTGCTGTTGGTTCCTTGTTTAATTTTGAATTGCATTAATTGCTTCCTTAATCTACCAGATATACCTACTCTTTCCTTCTAGTTTGCCAGAGRTATTCCAGCACATCATATGTGCTCTTGTAAGGCCTTAGCATCCAAATAATCTTCTTCCACATGTCTAGGAGGAGCTGTATCTAACAAGCCGCAAGTTAATTACTTAATTGCTCTGTTGGTTTCTTTTTGACCTTTTTTTTTATTTTTTTTTTTTAATTTGAAAGCAATTTTCCTGCTCTGAGCATATTTTTGAAGGGAGGATGTGAACGTGCAGCTTTACAAATTGCTGAAATAGCCTCTGCTGGGAAATGTCAGTTTAGAAAGCTCAGGAGAAGTTAATTAATCTACAGGAGCGGCTTAAACCTGCTGTCCATAAGCTGGGTATTTGGTTAGGAAGACATTGCTCAGGCTGTAACTCCAAATCCTAGGTCTCCATAGTTGCCTGAAAAGCATCAAGTGTCTGGGAGAGGGCCATTCTTCTAAGTGTGGTCTGGAGCTCCAGCACAGATGAAGAGGGTCCCTCTTTTTCCTCTAGCATTTGCTTGTGCAGCCTTCTTGATGCTTTCATAATTCTATTCGGACAAGACAGTCTGAAGTATTGCCCTATCCTTTTGGGAGAAACAGATCAGGAAGGGTGGTGGTTAGATGTTTTGCCTGAGGACAGTCAGTAAAGTGACTGTCCCCATTAACCAAGTGATAAACAGCAGCATAATGCCATCGTGTGGAGGACCTTCCCAAAGCACTCATTGTTTTAAGTGCTGCCTCCCAGTCACAGCAAAAGGCATAAAGTGTGGCAGTTCTGTCAGACAAGTTATCATATGTTATGAACTGCATGGACAATTGTTAAATATCTGTAGATAATGTGAAAAAAATCTGTCTTCTCATCTGAGCTGGGCCAGCTACTGTAACTAGTAGTTTCTGAGTGCTCCTTGTCCTTCAGATGCAAACAAGTTATGCATTCTTGTAAACAAAATACTGATAGGTCTGCAGTTTATTGTGCTTGCATGCATGACCCTGATGATACTAGTTTTTTATTTTTGTTTGTTATTTTAGAGTTCCTGACTCCTGAGAGCCATCCTGTGTGACCTGTAGGATTGGCAGGGCTAGGGAGTGATTGATATTGTTTCTAGTCTGTGTATGCATAAGCCCCTCAAGGCTCACTAAGTGGAGACATCAGTACTGCCTGATTTCCTTGCAGCCCTTATTAATTCYCCCTTAGTTTCTTCTCTTTCTGTTTCTTCCCCCAGGTTGTGATTAAGCTCTATACTGCAAGCTTGAGAAGAGCCTACCAACTAAAAGCTGGTAGTGTTCAAGCTTCAGGAGTGATAGTTACCACTTTGACATGAGGACGAGA